TAGCTGGAACTTGCGTTTGGCCCTGGGACCTCTGTGCCCAGACCAAAACCCTCCTTGTGAAACTGCTGGGCCGCCTTCAGCCCTGGGCCATTATACCATTATGCCGATGGACTCCACACAGAGCTACCCCCTCTCAAGGGAACACCATGGTACTAGGGGTAGTCAACCTCCAGATGACAGTGCCATGTCGCTGCCACCCCGCTGCTCAGAAAACAGCCTATTTCCTGTTCAGTGACAACGTCCGTCACTTCCATGGGTTGCCCCCAGGTTGCCCCCAAGTATAGTATCCAACCGGAGGTCCCAGTTTGCTTCCCACTTTGGAGGGAGCATAGTATCCAACCGGAGGTCCCAGTTTGCTTCCCACTTTGGAGGGGATTTCTGCACCTCCTAGGTACCTCAATCGCTTACCATCAATGGCCAGGCAGGTCCATCAGCTTCTGGAGCTGTACCTACAATGCTTCCTGAACCACTGCCAGGACAATTGGCTGGCACTTGTTCCACAGGCTGAATTTGCCTACAACAATTCCACACACACACCACAACCCAACAGATCCCGTTTTTGCTTTCTTTGATGATTTTTAGTGTGGTTTTTGTGGTCACTGTCAAGGGGCACCTCATCTGCCTGCTGGAGAGGACAGTGACGGGTCAGCTGTGGTCCCTTGGACTCCTGACTCCCACTTGGGATGGGGTGGACTAACAGACAGAGTCTATGCACAGCAACCTGTGTTCAGGGCAGTATGGCCTAATGGTTACAGACTCTTAATATCTCCCTATCTCCCCCCATGTTTAAGGATAGCATAGTATAGCATAGGCCTAGCAGCCACAGAGTCAATATACACTAGACAAAGCTCCCCTGTGTGGCCTGCCCAGGGCCTCCCTCTCCGCCAGGTCCCAGCCCAGGGCCTGCCTGTCAGTATTGGAGTGGTCCACTGCTAGCTTGGCAGGGAATCACACCACAACATGCCAAGCTCCTGGGGACTGGGACCAATTCCCCCCTGAGCAAGAAGTGGGCCGCTATTTCCTACCCATAGCCTGTAGGAATTCTTCTGCCACCCTTTGGTCTGGCTGTGCTTCCTCCCCTGAAGCACCAGCAGCACCTCCTTCCCCTGTGGCAGTCAGCCCTGACTGAGCAGCTGCAGAGGCTTTTATAGCCAGCCTCCCCTTGGAGCATGCCCAGCAGGGCTGTGGGGGTGGGGCCTCCTCAGTCAGCTGAGCCTGGTTAACCCCCTTCAGTTTGATACACCCCGTCACAGTCACTTAGGGTATGTCTACACTACCCCGCTAGTTCGAACTAGCGGGGGTAATGTAGTCATCCGCCCTTGCAAATGAAGCCCGGGATTTGAATTTCCCGGGCTTCATTTGCAAGTGCGGATGACTACATTACCCCCGCTAGTTCGAACTAGCGGGGGTAATGTAGTCATCCGCCCTTGCAAATGAAGCCCGGGATTTGAATTTCCCGGGCTTCATTTGCAAGTGCGGATGACTACATTACCCCCGCTAGTTCGAACTAGCGGGGGTAATGTAGTCATCCGCCCTTGCAAATGAAGCCCGGGATTTGAATTTCCCGGGCTTCATTTGCAAGTGCGGATGACTACATTATCCCCGCTAGTTTGAACTAGTGTAGACATACCCTGTGGGAGTATACAAGCTCTCTGGTGGCTCTTATGAGGCCCTTTGCAGCTAGCCTTGCTGAGCACCCTGAGTCCTCAGCAGCTAGATCTCATTCTCCATGGGGCTGCAGAGGGGAACACATTTAGGGCATAGCCTATCTCCTAGAGAGCTGGAAGGGACCTTGAAAGGTCATCAAGTCCAGTCCCCTGCCTTGAAAGGTCATCAAGTTGAGTCCAGTCCCCCTGCTTTCAGAGCAGGGCCAAATACCATCCCTGACAAATTTTTGCCCCAAATGGTCTCTGCAAGGATTGAACTCATAACCCTGGGTTTAGCAGGCCAATGTTCAAACCACTGAGCTATCCCTCCCCAGCAGGACCCTGCTGCCCCAACTGGGAAAGGACATGGGTGAGCTCATGAACCCTTCTTCTTTCCTCTAGGTGTTCAGGACCCATTTTTGGACTTGAGGGGAGGGATTTATGACCCCACAAGTCGGCCAACTGTGTTCTCCGGGGTTGGGACCCCCCTGAGCCAGCTAACTGGGGTCCTCCTTGTCCTTGCAGCCTCTCCCTTCTCTGCCAATTCATTTTTTCCACACTGGAGTTACAGCTGCTCTGATGGATAGGCTGGACCATGGGGCTCCAAAACTCTAATCTGCCTCCATACGCTGTGAAGAAAGAAGAGCGGACCCAATATCAAGAACTGTGGGAGATGCTACGCTGCAGAAATGTAACTCATTAGTCTGTTCTTTGATTCAAAGGTCTGGGAAGTCAGAGCCAACATCTCTACTTTGCCTCTTCAATCCCTGTTGATTTGTAAAGTCTAATACCACATCTGTTTCATCAACCTGGCACAGTGGCAAGAAACTCAACCTCAGCAAAGGCAGAATTATCAAAGGGATTTTAGCTTGTCGTCATTGCGTGTGATGGCACGCCAGTGCTTTCTGCACGTGTGACATTTGGTCACTCACTTCAGAGGGTGTCTTCATCCTTTGCCAAGATGCAAGCTGACCCTTATATTTGAAATGGTCACCGAAAAAGAATAAAATTCTCTACATCTCAGAAGATGAGAGAAAAATCTCAAGTATTTCATGACATCTCTTCTCGCAAAATGCTTTTCTCTTCTGAGACACGACATCACCAAAGCAATTTCAAGTGATTAACAACAACAGCAGACCAGGATGTGAAATAACTATTGAAAGACATTGTGAATCCTGGAACCGTATTAAGAGACAGCGTTATCAATAATTTAATGTCTGTTAATAAAGAATAAGTTACATGATTCAACATAGCACAAATACAGCTTCTTTCTTGGGACTTCAATTGGCAGATGGTCCTCAACATTGTAGGAGCTGCTGGCAGGGGCCTTTGGAAAGATTGTACTTTGGTTCCCTCACATTTCTAGCCACGCTAGCTTTCATGACCTTTCCCTCCTTTTTCTAAACTTCTACAAAGCTCACAAAGATCCCATCAATCTGTGATGAGAACAGGAATATTGGGCTACACAGAATGCACAAGTCCTAGCAAGCTTGACAAAAACTCATGAACGTGTCCTTCTGCTGGGTCTTCATGTGCAAAAGTGATGGAGGAAGGTCCCCAGCTCATAGATCCACACTTTATAGACCGTGGGCCCTATGCATCAACACGGAACACTTTACCATTACCTGGTACTTCAATGTGTGCAAATTCATTCCTCATGTGTCAAGACAAATATTAGGAACACAAGAACTGCCGTGTCAGATCAGTCCAGGGGTCTGTCTTGTATGAGGAAGGCACTAGAACCACAATCATTTTATAACCTGCTCCGAGAAGACGTCCCATCCAACCCTGAAAATTAGTGGCTAACCTGCTTTGAGTCAAAATCCTCCTAAATCACACGCAAGGCAGTGGAAAGGCTCTATCAAGGTTAACGAGTTGGCGCCTGCCTCTTGCAAGTGCCCCCTCCCCTGGCTTATAGCGCCTGCAATCACAGTTCTTTGGAGCGGGTCTTCAGTGACTCAGCCCTCCAGCTGAGCCACATTCACCATTCCCCCTTCCAGGATATACAGTCCTGGTTTCTTTTCCAGCCCTGATATAGGGCTGTGTCTGGAAGGCTTCTTTCCGGTGGCCCTTCCTTCTTAACAGTCCAACAGGGCCCATCTTGGTACCCGCAGCTGGTCAGTTTCAGCAGCCTTCCCTGGGCTCAGTCTGCAGCCAGACCAGATGGGCTCAGGCCCTGGTATATAAGCAGCAATATATGTAGGTCCAGAGCTTCTGTGGCCCAACAGGCCTATCAGCCTTCACACCCCACGGCAGTACACCGGCTAGCCCAGGCATGGGCAATAAACAGGCTGCGGGCTGGATGGGGTTTGCGAGAGTTAGCCCCAGGTGGGCTGCCAGATGCTGACCCTGGCAAGCCACGTCCGGCTCGTGGGCCGTTTCTTGCCCCTCTCCCGGACAGATAGACATGCCTGCGTACCCGGGGCTGCATTCCAGGGCGTCCACGCTTTGCAAGGTCAGTGTCACACAGTGCAGGAGACAGCGCTGCGGAAGGGCCACACTCAGTCCGGAGAGGGGATTGGTGACTCACCGCCACCGCCCTGGTAGGACGTCCCTCTGCACTGCGGTAGGTGCTGCACATGCAGCTCTGAGTGTGCGCTCCGGCAGAGCTCCTCCTGCCCCTCTGCTGCTCAGTGCACAAACGCAGGTGTCCCTGTCTCCCTTCCACGCCCACAGACTTCAGTGGAGCTCGCCTACAGAGCCGCTAAAGAGCCACCCCTCGGCCTTCTGCAGGGAGGCGGCAAGAGGCCCATGGAGGACTGCAGCCTTCAAACCAGGACTTCCCTTGAACAGGTGTTTTCAGTCTGTTCAGCCAGCACAGGGGAGCTTCCTGCCAGGTGAAGCATTTCTTACAGTAGCGCAATCTACACGGGCCAGCTCCTTCTCTTTTTCAGGAAGAAACCCCCCCGGCAATTCCCACCCTGGCAAACCGACCCTTTAGAGTGAAGGCTGCAGTCACATCATCTAAGTCAGTGGTCCCCAACCACTGGAGGTTGCCGGGCGCCAGGGGGGCGTGGCCATTCGCCCACCGGGCGCCAGAGGGCGGGGACACTTGCACGCCCGGGGGCAGGGCCCCCCCATAGCCGCGTGCCCAGGGGCAGGACCCCCCCATGTGCCATGTGCCTGGGGGCGGCGCCCCACCCCCAAGCACTCTGCACCCCCTCCAAGCCCCGAGCACCATGCGCCCAGAGCGCGGACAGCCAATTCACAGTGCTCCCAGGGCCAGCGCTTACAGTGCGCCATGTGCCCGGGGCCAGCTCCAGCACCATGCACGCGCCACGTGCCCAGGGCCAGGCCAGCACTGAGCACTTGGCGGGCGCACCGTGTTGGGGACCACTGATCTAAGTACTAGAAAAAATGAATCCATATGGTAACACTCAAGGTGGGCATCACACAGGGGAGCGAGTGGCTAGTCGGGGGCAGAGGATGAGAATGACTCAATAAGCCAGTCACTACAGCACCACCCGGGAAGTGGGAGAACCACGTGTCAGGCTCTGGCTCCAAAAATATAGAAAAGCAGGCTCTGTGTGCCTGCCCAGGCAGCCCCTGAAATGTAGGTACCTCAGAGCTGTGGGCAGGGGAAACTCCAGAATTACTTGGCAACGGGGCAGGAGCTTTGGGAATGCCAGTGGTTCCTAAATGTTGGGCCGAGGCACCGACTGTGGCAGTTAGATGCTTACGTCCCCCTTGGGAATCTCACCCACAGATCCCTAAAGCCACTCGGATGCCAGTGGACACCCAGGCTAAAGCATCCAGCTACGTCAGACGCATCCGGCAAACACTGTCATTAGAACATAATAAAACCCTTAACTCTGACCCATGTGAGAAATGGGGAAAAAACAATGTAATAAATATGTTAAAATACATTAAAATTACACACAAAACATATGTATGGGAACGTGGATTAGAGACAAGAGAACATCATCCCAAATACAGACACTGAGTCTGTCCTTTCGAAACACAAATCTGTGTTGCACAATTGTTTGTTGCACGTCCCCAATAGATGAAAAGCCTAACATTTCGACACCCACACCCAGCGGACACAGCTTCGCATTCACACCGCTTTACATGCGTCAGTTGTTAATTCTTTGTCAGATGTAGACAGAGTTGAGGGAACTGTTTGCTTTTTCAATGGTATCTGTGGTTTCAGCGGTGCCTGCGAGGCACTTGGGTCTCTTCACTGACCATCTCCTACAATTCCTGCAACTTCCTTGGATCTCATCCCTGACCAGTTCTTGTCGGTTTTTCAGTGCTCAACGTAGACATTTGCCTTTGGAAGCTGGACTCTCAAAGCCAATCAGTTGCCGCCATTGGCGGTCAACGAGTGACGTTTGTTGCGGGGGAATGCGATGATTCGTGTCAGTCGCTCTGTCCAGTGGGCAGTAAAATCTCCCTTCTGCAGACGGGCCCTGTTTTAAACAGCTTAGAGCTTTGCTTGTGAGACAGATAACTGTTCGCTCGGACTCCCCGCTCCTGGGACGAGAGGAGAAACCCTCCTAATAGCAGCTTTGACCACCCCAGACTGGAGGAGAGCTCAGCCTGGAACGCAGGGTATGGGAGCTGTCTAGCTTGGAACTTGAAATCCAGCCTGCCTACACTGAGACAAACTCCCGCACATGTCAAGGCCCATCCTGCCCTGGGCCTGCCCTTTGCAGCGCTGAGCAGAGGCCGCTCAGGTCACTTTCGTCGTTCTCCTCCGGCTCGCTGCCCGTGTTCGACCGGCTGCTCGATTGCCAGCTGTGTCTGAGCTCTGCTCTCAGACAGCAGGACTCCTCCTGGGATGCACTCCCAGCAGCGGTGCTCTTGGGGCACAGGGTGGCAGCAGCCCCTTGGCCAGCCAGGCAGGAGGGGTTTGCCGCGCTTTTCTGGGGGAACGGTTCTGCTAGCAGAGATTTCTGGAGGATTTTCTGCAGACTCTCACAGGCCCTCTGCTTGGTGCCCAGCTGGGTGTAATGCAAATCCAGCTGCAGCAGCAAGTCCGTCTGGGGGAAGAGCAGAGACACAAGGTGAGCGGAAAGCCTAAAGCAGGCTATGCTTCCACCTAGAGATACAATAGTATAGTCAATTAACTGATTAACCGATAAGCAAAAGCATATAGGTTAATGCTATCGACTACATGCATTTCCCCCTCACCCATTGCCAGTACATTTTTTAGCAGGCTGGCCAGCAGCCCAGCTCAGTCCCAGCTTGCACTGGGTCCTGGACCTACCCCCACTGCATTTCAAGTGTATTAGGAGCCAGGCAGGCAGCCCGGCTCAGTTCCGGCTCATGCTTGGTCCAGGAGCTCAGGCCTCCCCCCCCCGGACAGGGGCTGCCCAGGGACTATAGAATAGTCGACTAACTGAAAAGAATTCATGAGGTTAATCAACTATTCAATTAAATGATATTTAACATCCCTACTTCCACCACCACCAGTAAGGGGCCAGAGGCAGGACTGAGTGCCCTTGGGAGACCCCTGCCCCCGGACAACCCTGCTCAGAGGTCCGAGACAAATTCACTGTCACCAAACTGGGTTGCTCCACCAGCTCACACCAGCTGTGAATCTGGCCCATTATCTGCCAACCGGGCTTCCTGGCTTCCACTAAAACGCACTCCCCTGGAAACAGTAGAATGTGTTCTTTGTCACTGGCGACACGTGGCAGGTGGGAGGCCAGGTGGCACCAGGAGGGTCTGCGGGAGGCTGCTCCCCTTGCGGTGCGGATCGTGACTGCTTATCAAATTGTTGCAGTGTGGTTTCGAACCAGTCGCCTTGGCCCTGGTTTAATTGCATGGACCAGGGAAGGCAAGCCCAGTATCAGGGCTCAAAAGGAATTCAAGATGGCTCGTTCCGGGGATGAAAAGCAGACTGACCCCACAGTGTAGCTGTTAATGGGGAACTATAAAGGCAGGGGGTGTTTCTGCTCTTGGCCCAATGCTATCCCATATTTTTACCAATGATCTGGAAGAAAACATAAAGTCCTTGCTGGTAAAGTTTGCAGATGACACAGACCGGGGCAGTGGTACGTAACGAGGACAGATCATCCACACCAAGCAATCTGGATCCCTTGGGGTATGGCTACACTACAGCACTAATTCGAACTAACTTAATTCGAATTGGTTAATTCGAACTAAGCTAATTCGAACTAACGCATCTAGACCTAAAAACTAGTTCGAATTAGTGTTTTGCTAATTCGAACTAGCATGTCCACATTGAGTGGACCCTGAACCGAGGTTAAGGATGGCCGGAAGCAGTGCCGGCAGGGCATCAGATTAGGACTTAGAGCGTGGAGCTGCTGTCTCAGGCTAGCCGAGGGCTGCGCTTAAAGGGACCCAACCCCCACCCCGGACAGACAGTTCTCAGGGGTTCCCCGCTCGCTTGTCTAACTCGATGAGGGACAGCAAAGCAGTCCTGGCTTGGAGTGCCCTGAAGGCCCACACTATGCACATCACAGCACTCGGCCATCAGCCCAGCTGCACTTGCCGCAGGCTGCCATCTGGGGGGGGGTTAATC